ATAAAAATGTTCCATTGATGACTCTAAAAGCATTGGTCATTTTCAACAACAAAATGAAGTGCTGTTCATTTCATCCCATTTTGAACTCACTGTCATTTCATAGGCTTAGGAAACTGTATCTTTGTGTTTGAGTAATGACTCTAAAGTGTTGTTCATTTCTAACAACAAAGGGAATTGTTGTTCATTTCTATAACAAAATATAGCCCTGCATTATCTATTAGGTATTCACTCATTTTGAGCCAAGGGATGTTGCATACTCTGTTGATTTGATTCAATCAGAGCCAGGTCTGTGGTAAGCATTTCATTTCTGGAAAAGCAGCTCAACTGTGGGATTGTTACGATCCAAACTGGGTTCCGACCCAAAATCTGGGTCATCAGAAATGTGGTTATGTTGAAAAACTTCAAGCCAATCTTAAAGTTGCCACCAAGCCAGATGAGAGAGCCAGAGGTCAAGGGCTGAAAAATGTTGCAGGAGAATGTGGAGGGCAGTTATCGGAGGAAATCAAGTCCAACATTCAACAAAACCTTGATGAACCAGGAGAAAAGGTCATCAACATTTCCTTTGATGTTGAATCAGCAGTAAAGGTGGAAACTAACAGTGAACCAGGAACAGCAACTCAAACAGAGAAGTTTGACTACTCATTTCGCACCTCAGCTGAGAAACAGCCTTTCAATGGAACTTATTTTTCCCATGGCAATGACATGGTTCAGTTTTACATGGGATTGCCTGCCTATGATGTGCTTCAAACAATGTACAAGAATCTTTTCATATTTGTTGTTAGGGAGTCAGTTTGGGATCTTGCCTACCACTTTGGAATGTCACTATCAGCTGTTTCAAGACTATTTTCAGCTTGGACAGTGATTCCTTCAGTAAGATTAGCACCTTTAAAAAGGTTGCCAGAATGCAAGGATTTACGGAGAACCATGCCTTAATGTTTCCAATCTGTTTTTGGCAACAAAACTACAGTAATCATTGACTCTTTTGAGGTGTTTATCACTAGACCTTTAAATCTCATGGCCCAGACACAAACTTTTTCCAACTACAAGAAGCACAAAATTGTCAATTTTGGTTGGAATAACCCCACAAAGGAGCATTTCATTTGTCTCAGATGCTTCAGGAGGAAGGATTTACAGCTAAGTATTTAACTGAAGGGTGTGATATTCTAGAAAGCTAGTACCTAGAGATTTGATGATGGCAGACCATGGCTTTACTATTCAGGAAAGTCTCGTACACCACAGACTTGAACTTGCCATACCAGCATTCACAAAAGGAACCAGTAAGGCCTAGAAGACGTTGAGCAAACCTATGGTACAACAAATGTCCAGACACATGTGGAAAGTACCATTGGCTTCCTAAGGAGAAAGTACATCATTCTTTCTGGAATTTTACCGACTGATTTCTTGCAGTGTGACCCTAATAGTCCCCAGGACGCTCAAATTAATGAATGACAAAATTATTACAGTGTTTGCAGCTTTGACAAACCTGTCCAATGGTATAATACCTTTGGATTAAAGAAAAGTGTATTTAAATATCAGTCTTGTTATGTGTTGCTACTGTTGTTATTGAGAGTCCTAAGGTGAATGGTGTGAAAAGTTTTTCCAGGGTGATTCACAAACTTACATTGGTCAGTGAGATTGACTTTACTAATTTATATCACAGAAGGTAGCCATTGTATTCTGTCCATAACTACGTCTCTTTGATCACATATAAGATAACTAACAACAGACGAATTCAATCGACATCCCTCGCTCCTCGCTCCACGTGTCATTACCCCCTCAGGTCATGTGACCGACACAACAGTAGCTGCTCCTTATAATAATAATAATAATAATAATAATAATAATAATANGGTATCAAATGCAGCGCTTAGGTCTAACATGACAAGCAATGTGACATGACCTTTGTCCATATTTAGCAAAAGATCGTTTTTAACTTTTAATAGCACCGTCTCAGTGCTGTGATTCTGCCAATATGTGCTTTGGAGAACAGGAAATAAATTGTTGGCTGTCATATGATTCTGTAATTGGATAGCCACGGACTTTTCCGTAATCTTTGATGTAGCCTGCAAGTTACTCACTGGTTGAAAATTTCTGTTAATAGGTTTGAGTCCTGCTTTCTTAAGCAAAGGGTGAACTAATGCATTCTTCCAGTCCTCTGCAAAGATGCCACACTCAAGAGACAAGTTGAAAATTTTCCTAATAACAGGGAGCAGTTCATCCAAACAGAAGGTCAGAATAGAGGATGGTAGAGGATCAAGGGCACACGACTTTGCACATGAGGCAGCAATTCTCTGTACACTCTCCTCAGACAGTGGAGAAAATTCAGAAAACTCACTACAAATTGAAGCAGAAGTGGCAAGCGAAGTTCCGCCACTGGCATCCCCATCCAGCTCAGACCAAATAGCCGTGATTTTGTGAACAAAATACTCACCCCATCTCATTTGCCAGCCTACGTGCATCCATATGAGGCGGCAGAGCCCTGTCTACATGAAAGTTCAAAAGGCGTTTACTGGCCCAAAAAAGTCTTCCCTGGTCAGAACTGTTCTCATCAATATACTGTTTATAATAGGCCCGTCTAGCATTCACAATGTGCAATGCAAAATTTCATTTGGTTTTAAATACAGCAAGATCCGAATTAAGCCTACTAGCCCGCCATTACAAGATATTTTGCTAGTGACATATCCATTCCTCACAAGTAGTGCAGTTCCCCCACCCCTTCTGCCAGATTGTGGACAGTGATATAGAGTGTTGTACCCCGTCGGGGTAAGTTCATTAAGAACAGCACTGTCGTTGACAGACAACCAGGTCTCGCAAAATGTAAACAAATCAGCTTTCAAATCATTCACCAATTCCACAAAGGCTGCTGATTTATTCCATAGCGATCTAGCATTCAAACTGCATATTTTCAATAACCTGTTGCCACTGGGTGACATTCCACTCCGTCCCACAGCAATAAGATTGTTTGGGTTGCGGGTAAACGGTCCATTGGGACCTGGGCTCAGTTTGAAAAAGATCTCATAAATCATCACACAGGGGAATGTCACACTGCAATTAGAATAGTATAAACAAGGGCGATGACAATGCTTGATTCTGGTCATCACCTTGAGCATTGTCGCATTCCAGTGTGGAAAGAATAATGACATGTTATTTGTAATCCCAACGGCCAGGCAAAACGATCCCACACACTAGTCCGATCAAAACCAAAAATGTTCCTCAATATATAGCCCCATTCTTGCTTTCCAAGAGAAATTTTAAAACCAAGACTAGACAAGCAACCACTTCATGAAACGCTGAACCCACTTTCACGGTTCCAGAGCCACTATGATAGCAGCAGAAGATGTAAAAGGCGAGAGCAAAGCTCACCATGTCTGCCCATATTAAATGTATAACAAGGAAATGTATAACAAGGTTTTTTATAGGAGGTTTCTAATTAAATAACATCATCAGCAAGGTAAAATTATTAATTATAAATTGAACATTGGTATACTCATACATTTAAGTAGATTTTTAAACCTTGTTTTTCAACCATTGCCTATTCATCTATTCATTTATCTATTTTTACACAACCCCACAAGCTGCAAAGTTTAGATCCTTCTCCTGTTTTAAGAAGGGAAATGATCACTATTATTATTATCATTATTATTATAATTACAACCCACTAATGAGTGGGAGATGACAAAGATTCCTTATGAAATAACATATTTTTAATAGAAAGAATGACATGGCTCTCAACATTTACTTGTATTCTGACATTTTTGTAGGTAAGTTTGAAAAGACATACTCAGCATGATTGCAAAGGATTTTACTGTACATTGAGTATTTCTGTCAAACTACTTTTGCCATGCCATGCCATGATCATGTCCCAACCATGCTGCATGATGTGAAAGACATTCAAGTGATAAGGAAAGGATTGCTAAATCCCCCCGCTAGATGGAGGGTGATTTTCCACTGGCTGAGTGGAACGAAATAAGTGGAAAATGTTTTTCTCACACACCGCTGGGGCCTGGGGATGGGTTAAGGTCATGTGATGTGTAAGGCAGTCAGTTGTTTTTTGTTGACCGCCATTGCTTGACCTTTTTCTGCGAAAGTGCGTGTATTATTTACATTTGTTACGAATAGTTAGTCACGAATCATTAGTAAAGCATGCCGAANCGTAAGAAAGGGTGATTTTCCACTGGCTGAGTGGAACGAAATAAGTGGAAAATGTTTTTCTCACACACCGCTGGGGCCTGGGGATGGGTTAAGGTCATGTGATGTGTAAGGCGGTCAGTTGTTTTTTGTTGACCGCCATTGCTTGACCTTCCCACTCACCCACCCAAGAGTTTTTTCAGTTGTTCATTACACTTCTAAACGATTTTAGATTTTGTCTCGATTCTTAACTAGTTCATGTTTTGAAACTCCATGTATACTTGTAAAATTTGATAGCTGTTATTGCGTGAATAAAGGTCAGGCTTGCGGTGGTTGGTTTGACATGGCTCCCAGGGGTGTGTGAGAAATAGATTTAATGTTTTTCGATTGTAAACTGGAAGGAACTATAAATTTGGATCGTTTTTGCTTTTAATAATGACTAAAACACGTGACTCATTTAAACTAACTTTGACTTACCTTATTATTGCCATGTTCAGTGTCTCTTCGTTCCCTACTTTCTTTATCTCTTCTTTATTTGTTGCAATGTGTTTATCAGTAGAGCCATCGTTTTTACGGCTTGTGTGGCCATATGATATGACAACTCGCACTGGCCCTTTAAGTTATATGACAACTCGCGCAGTTCTTCGGTTTTATGAGTGTTTACCCATTAATCAGAAAAAATTGCTGCTTAATTAAAGGCTGTGGCAAATCACACCAACTCCGCTTACTGAACACTCCACCATTAATACGCTGGTCCAGAGCGGTCTGAGCGCAACTTTCCCAGGGATTCCTGTTCTATAAAGAAGGAGTGGAGACTGAGGAGAGTGTGGAAATCGAAGACACTAGTTCCCAGGTTTCAGCCATACCGGCGACGTGGCACAAAAGTTGTTGGCGATTTATGTTCAAATCCTTCGTCTCATCGAAACTTGTGGTGGATTTATTTAAAAAATGACGACATACCAGGACTTTATAACACAGAATGAAGACCGAGATGGTGTTAGGTTTAGCTGGAATGTTTGGCCCTCGAGCCGACTGGAAGCTACGCGAATGGTGGGTAGAGATACGTTCGACATTGTCATTGCTACCAACGACTCAATTCAGAAATCTCATCTCGACTTTTTAGGTTGTTCCCGTTGGTTGTATGTACACACCATTGAAAGAACGGCCAGACCTTCCTCCAATCTGTTATGATCCTGTTTTGTGTACAAGGAACACCTGTAGAGCAGTATTGAACCCGTTTTGGTAAGATAGTAAACGATGTAACTTACATGAAATTTGACATTTGATAAGGGAATTTGGATTACGTACTTCTCCAGTGGTTTGTAATGCACTTTAATATCGCAATATACTTATTTCTTTTATGTTTTTGTCCATAGTCAAGTGGACTATCGATCCAAAGTTTGGCACTGCAATTTTTGCTTCCAAAGAAATGCGGTAAGACTTGTTTACGTGATTATGATGAAGCACACCTAACATTTTTGATAAGACAAAGTACTGAAATGTGAAAAAGCTGTGATTGTAGCAAGCTTGTTCGACTAAAAAAAATAATATACAACTGTACACACGCGACTTGTTCATCTCTCGAAATTCGTTAATCAAATGGGAATGAATTATTTTCATGTCTAGTAAGCGTTATATTACTTAGTACTACACAAGATAAAGGTAGTCATGAAAAGCTCTCTTTTGGTGGCTAATGTGGTCATGACCCTTAACAAAGTCATCACTTTAAGAACATTTGTATGCCACTCAGTCAATTTAAAAAAAGCAACGCGAGACTTCTGTTAGGTATTTTCAGTGAAACGCTGACAAACACCAGAACTTGCAATTTAGAGCAGTCACACATTTCACCAGCTGCAAACAGAGGAATTTTCTTGCCATAATACAGACATCAAAACTTATCAATCAACGCTAACTGACCAACTCTTCTTACACTAGTTTACTACAATGATTAATTTACTGAATTTTTTTAAATGCAAATTTTCCATGAACACATATTCAAAGAAGTCATGGGGAATAAGAATAATGGTTCTTGTGTTGTGAAGAAATCCAGGGAACCTGGAGAAAAACGATTGAAGGAAAGCCAAGAACCCGTAGCAAACTCAGCTCACATGTTAGGCTATAGTGTGTAGGTCTTGAAATCCAACTCAGGTTATGAAGGTGCTACAGTGGAAGCAAGCCCTCTTACCAACATGGCTCCAATAGTTACCATCATAGTAAGGGGTAATATTGAGCTACAGTGTACTGGAATTTATGCATTAAACAAACAAACCATTTTCCCCTAAATTTGATGATGGCTTGAGTTATCACTTAAAAAAAAAACAACAACAGCAAAAGTAAACCAGTTCTCTTCATGGCTACTGTTTACACGGTTACTTCAATCATGTAATTCTGTGAATATCGCAATCATTTTGAGACTCCAGGTTGAAACAATTTAGTAGAATAGCTTTATATTACTTGGATAATGATATATGAATACATTTATAAACTGTATACTCTAGCTTTGCTTAAGATAAACTATGATTAATTTTTTGCTGATACAATGTATTTTGTCATTCACAGTTTCCTCCTCAATATGCTGGAATATCAGAACAACACCAACCTGCTGAACTTATCCCTCAGTTTTCAACCATTGAGTATACTCTACAGGTTAACTAATAGTTTGCTTAATCACAGCCATCTATTTTCTTTGCATTTATCAGAAAATAACAGTATGATGTTGTTCATGCTTTTTGTGGGAACATTATCAATTCAATGATAGGAAACATCAATTTGCTTCATTTTTTGAATATGTAACACCTGTAGAAGAGATTGTGGCCAGTGTACATTCACAACAGATGAAGTTCTCATACAAATGTCATGGGACTGGGAATGACTTACTCCGACTATCTTATTGTTGATTAATAACTTTGAGTAACCCCTCATCTATGATCCGAGAGCAGTGTGGGGATTCTGTAGAAACCTAAGTCCACTTTTTGATGAAATCCCTCTACCCAAAGGAAGCCATCTTTGTACCAAAACCCTCACATGCTTCCTTGAAGTAAGACCTCCCCCATATGAGGTCCTGGATCAACAGCTGGAAGGACAAAGGATAATATTCCATTTGTCCACCAGATGTAGATAAATGTTCATTTTATAAATTTTTCTACTTTAATTGAGTAGATGGTGTTAATTTCAAAGACAGATTTTGACATGCAGGTTTTTATGACATAACCACTTACATCCCACCTATACTTAACAAAAACAGCCCACAAATTGATCTTTGAGAGAGGCAACCCCTGATTTCACAACAGCAGGCTAACTAAAGAACCTCTAACATGGGGAATGACATATAGAGGAGGGGGTGGGATGGGATTGGTGGTTCTCTGTACCTTGACCCATGCTCTTTTTATACCTACACGTACAAATTCAAAACATTTATGTTGTATTTACTCTGCAACACAATGTACCTTTTCCCCCAGCGTGGAGGTACCTCTGGTCCACTGATATATCTCATAGTGTTAGACACATGTATGGATGATGAAGACTTCCAGGCTGTCAAGGTCTGTTTTTAATCAGTGTACGTTGTACTCGAAACCTAAGTTTGTAAAATACACTTAAGAAATGGCGCAGGCACATTTTGGTACAACATGTTGTGTTGTGGTTGTAGTTTAATAGATTTGAAGTATTCAGCCATTTCATCATCCTCGGAGACCCAGGGGCTGTGAGTCGATTTCAGGCTAGGGTGGAAGAGCCCCTGAGGACATTGTCTTACAAGACTAGTTCCAAACAACCGCAGTCGTTCTGGCATCTGATTGGTGCCAGAAAATCTGTGTTTTTCTGCCCAATCAGAGTGAAGTGTGCTTTAGAGTCCTTTTGTGTGTTTTAACACGGACATATACATGAAGCTTAGTTGCTCGCCGTGTTTGTTTGGGCCATGTGACAGAGCTTTGCTTGAGGTGAAAAGTTTCAGTCTTAGTACACAATGCAAGAGAAATCGATCAGATTGTCCGCAAAAATCTTACTGGAAATTACACTGAATACTTCGCAGGTATCACAAGAGAACGTGTTTAAAAGTTTGTGAGGTTCGTATAAAACATAATGGTTGCAGGCGTTAATATGTCACTTTAAACGTTCGACGAGATGTAAACTTAAATCTTTCCAGATTTTTTTGTATAATTTGCTGTGATCGAAACTTTGACAATCCCGTGAAGTTACTTCGTCGCACGGGCCATGCAGGGGCTTTCGAATCCCATTTGAAATTTTGCCAGTAAGGCTCAAGTCACCACCCTTGGTAGTGTTAGATACCAACAAAGAGGCATCGGTAAAAATTTCCCATGGGCAGAGTTTCCAAACAAGAAAATCAAATTGTTGCTGTTTCCCAGTTTCTACTAAAGGAACATTTGTCAAGGTATGCACAGATGCAAAACAACGTATGTTGAAAAAAAAAGAAAAGCTAAGCGCGGAAACTTTTGTTTATTAGATGCTGGTATATGATCCTGTACTAAGCTGACACTTACAATAAAGCAAACCCACCCTTTCTATCCAATATTTCTTGGTCTTTGGTTTTGTTTTCCACAATGAAAGCAGCATCGATTCCCAATGATCAAAGGTATTTAACTTGGTCTTCAACAATCGACAAAAGAAGTGAAATGACAATGACCAAGGGACTAGAAGAGAATCAGTGGCCTTTCGAGCCCAAGAATTTGAACACTCTAGGCTGCAGTTGAAAGATTAAGCTCTTTTCAAACCCCATTGGTAACTGTCCAAAAACCTCTCTTCTTCTCATATGTTTTCGATAACAAGTTTTTGTGCAGATGCTTCGCTAACCGGAAACACAGCTGAGCTTTCTGTAAGCGCTTGCTGGAGGTCATCCACAAACTTAACATTCTTTGCGACCTTGGCCATATTGTGAAAGACTTTACTGTACAAATTGTTAAGGTTAGATTTTGGCTGGCACAGAAAGCTACATAAGTGTAAGCGCCAGTTGCTCGACATACCTTCGTGGCCCGAGGGATGAAATAACTTCACAGGATTGGCAAAGTTTCAGTCACAGCAATTTATACAAAAAATCTAGTAAGATTGAATTTTACATCTTGTTGAACATTTAACGTGACATATTAATGCCAGCAACCATTATGTTTTCTATGAACCTCGCAAACTTTTAAACACATTCTCTTGTGATACCTGCGAAAGTATTCAGTATGATTTCCTGTAAGATTTTTGCAGACAATCTGATCGATTTTTCTTGCATTGTGTGCTGAGACTGAAACTTTTCACCTCAAGCAAAGCTCCTTCACACGGCCCAAACAAACACGGCAAGCAACTAAGCTTCATGTATATGTCCATGTTAAAACACACGAAAGGACTCTAAAGCACACTTCACTCTGATTGGGCAGAAAAACACAAAGATTTTCTGGCACCAATCAGATGCCAGAATGACTGCGGCCATTTGGAACTAGTCTTGTGAGACAATGTCCCCAGGGGCTCTTCCACCCCAGCTTGAAATCAACTCACAGCCCCTAGGTCTCCGAGGATGCCATTTCATATAACAAATAAATAACTGGCAAATCATGATAAAATCATTTTTGTGTATATTTCTGCACATTTGTAATTTTTCTACTGCACATATGGAACTACATGCCCCAGAAGCATGTGTGATTCCCAGACATGATGAACTTAAAGCATAGAGATACTGTAGTGAAAGCATCAGGTCTCTCTCTTTCTGAGCCACCCTCAGAAGATGCTTATGAGCAATCCATGTCATTATTCTTGTTGTTTCTCTTTGTCTTTTGTGTACCCTGACAAGGAGCTTCCCTCTTCAAGAAATACTTCCAATAGCAGTATGCCAGTGTTCACTTCTGTTTGAAAAAAAGAATAATTCTAAAAAGGAAAAAAAAAAAGATACATTAAGTAACAAACTATAAAGATGCAGTAGGATATTCATCTTGAAATGCTTTTTTTCTACTGAAGGAATCTCTGCAAATGTCTATGAGTCTAATGCCACCCAATGCATTAGTTGGTCTCATCACATTTGGTAAAATGGTGAGGAACTCTTTTATCTTGCTGTGTAGTAAATTACTCTGTAATTAGTAACCTTGTAGATACGTCATTGTCATCAGTCTATCTGCATGTAATATACATAATTTTACAGTGTATGAGTTGTAATGCACTGATCAATTCAAAGCTTCAATGTTCCCATTTCTCCCTCCCCCTCCCACCCAGGCAACCCATGGTCATTTAACTGTTGTCTGAGCCCTGGGGTGAGGAAATTGAAATTTCCCTAGGTGGGTGGGGCAGGGAATTTGAACCAAGGTCATACACATCTTTTAATTTTAAGTGTGGAGTAGTTTCAAGGTAAAGAGACAACTTTCATAAACAAATAGCTCAGAAGAAAATAAAAACCAAAACTCAGCACCAAAAAGTAATACATAATTTTGATAAAATCTACAACATGTCTTGGTCACTTGAAGAATGGTTCAAAAACAGTTTTTCTAAATTGGAGCATTTGAATGCATTTTTTGCCCAGGGGGTGGGGTGGGAATTCGACTGAACCAATCTTCAAGGGTCGTAATGCCTGTAGTGTTCATTGCAGAGAAATAATATTTTGATCTTGGTAATGAAAGAGTAAAACACTAAGAAGTTAAAAGTATTTTAGAATAAGGTACTAAATAGTGATAATTAAGTTTAGAGAAAGTTACATCGATCATATTATCTTTTCATTACTGTTTCAGGTTCATGTCCATGAGCTGGGATGTGAAGGTTGCTCCAAGAGTTATGTCTTTAGAGGAACAAAGGACCTTAATGCTAAACAAATACAGGTTTGTTGGTGTGTAGAGTGCATATATGTGTTACATTGCTGTTCTCGTAAGCAAGGCATGTTTCCTTTACAGAATGGTAAGGAAATTCATCATCTGGAGCAGTTTCTTTTCCTTTTGCCTTTCATGAAGATCATCCATAAGATAACTGATGCTTGTGCATTTTTTTAGGACATGCTTAGCTTAGGAGGCAGTGGGCGAGGACAACAGCAGCAAATCAGAGGAGGACCTGTACCACCTCAACAACAGCCCAATGAAACATTTAACAGGTATTCACACTGTAATTACAAC